CTTGGGTACCAGCAGAGGTGGTCCATCTATCTTCAGCCTCACTCTCGCCCAAACAGCAGAGATGGTCTATCTATCTTCAGCCTCACTCTCAAGTGGTGACTTGCCCACCTCTGTTTCCAACCTGGATGACATCTCTTACTCTGCTCCTTGAAAACAACTCATCCTGGAGAATGCCCTGCAATCTCCTTAGAACCACCATGCATGCCCTTTGAGGCCCCCACCATGGGGACTCTAGAGATTGTGGGCTTTGATGATTTCACAGCTCAGTGGCCTCCCCAGGAGAATGCCGTCTATGGTCTTTGTGTTCGGCAACAGCTCATGATCATCACTCAGGGATCCCAGGTGCTCCTATCTCTCACCTTTACATGACTCGGCCAAAGTCAGGATGACTGTAACTCAAGGAAGCGTCCTCCTTGACCATCCTCTGGGCTCTGGCACCAGGTGGCCGCGTAATCTTGGGCAAGCTTGTGGCCCTGTTTCTTTACTTGTCAAGCGACCGTGCTGGATCTAGATGACTGCTAACATTCCACATGCTCAGATTCTTTTGGGCTCTGGCCTACTAGAGTCTGATAGTCTGTGTTCTCTTTGCTGAGGCCACCTCTGGCCCTCAGACTCTATCATATGTGTTGGGAGACAGCAGAGCATAATGGCCAGAATGATGGTCTGGGGTCGGGAAAGCCTGGGTTCACATTCCTCCTCTGACATCAACTGTGTGAGGAGCTAGACTGGGTGCAGTCTAAAGAACATGACGAGTTGGAGGGCCTAGGTTCAAGTCTCGCCTCCAGTGCTTTCTACATGTGTGACCTTGGGAAAGTCACCTCACCTCCTGTAAAATGAGAGGCTCGTACTGCGTGATCCCTTCCAGCTACCATGAGCTTGTTTCCTCATCGATAAAAGGAGTCCAATGCCTGTAACACCTACCTCATGGGGTGCTGTGAGCCTGAAATGAAATGATAATGTCTGTAAAACACTCGGCACGCTTCAAAGTGCTACAGAGATGCCCTACATCTCCGGTAACCCGAATAAACTCACCATCCCTACCTCCTGGAGTTGGAGACGAAGATATGTTGGGACTGACTCCCAGACTGACCATCACCACACGTGACCAGGACCAAAAGCCATAATATGTCAGAGCAGGGACAGTAGAGCATGGAATGCCAAAGCCAGAGGGGATCCTTGTAGTGTACGGAGCCCAACCCCATATTCAGTCTACTCACACACACACACACACACACACACACACACACACGTATATATGTGTGTGTATATATGTGTTTATTTAAATATATATTAAATATCTATATATACACATATGTGTGTGACTATATGTGTGTATATGTATGTGTGTGTGTGTGAGAGTGTAATAGACCACAAGCTGGCAGCATAGAGTGCTGGGCACAAATGTAGGGTTAGGGTTAGGAAGACTCATCTCCCTGAGTTCAAATCCAGCCTCAGACACTTCCTAGCTGTGTGACCCTGGGCAAGTCACTTCACCCTGTTGGCCTCAGTTTCCTCATCTGTAAAAATGACCTGGAGAAGGAAATGGCAAACTGCTCTAGTATCTTTGCCTAGAAAACCCCAAACGGGTCACAAAGAGTCAGTCATGACTGAAAATGACTGAATGATAGCAACAAAATATATAATTATTCTAAATATCAAAAAAACACGAACATTTCAAAATATAAAGGACAAAACAGAGGATTTTAATTAAAGCATGAACTTCTGTTACTTATAATATGGGGTTTTTAAAGTATATTTAGTTTAACATGGTAGCAACAACGCTGCCCTGTTGGTCTCACCTCCTGAACCGGCTCTTTGTGTGTATTTTTTAATGTTCTTCCTCATTTTTCAGAGAAGGAAACTGAGACCCAGAGAGGGAAAGTGACCCAGGGTTGCCAGGGGGTCAGAGTATTGGGTGATGTAGTTGGGTCTTGGTAGATGTGTCTAAGGCTAGATCAGAGCTGTCCTTTCCCATCACGCTGTCCTTTCCCACCCTGCAGAAGGGGACAGGACCCAGTGCAAGGGCTGACCTTGAACCTGTGCTTGCTAGCTTCCAATCTTTCCTTTCTCAGGGCCGAGCCAACCACAGAGAGTTATAAAAATAGCTCCTTTCCCCCCCACAAGGACCTTTTGTGATATAGGCTTCAAGGCTTCTTAGCTGTAGATGTTAGAAATGGGAGGAACCTTACAGGTCATTGAATGCTGTTCATTCCATTTTATAGGTGAAAAAACTGAGGCCCGGAAGAAGGTGGCAAGCTGCCTGAGTTCTGATAGTTCCATATAGGGGCTCTAGTCCAAACCCTCATCATTTTACAGAGGAGGAAACTGAGACTTGGAAAGGGACAGGGCCTTGCCTGTTATCATCCACTAATGAAAGGCTGGACCAGCTGAGTGCCCTTTCAATTCCAAGTCCTGTGAGCCCATGATTCCACGTCTCCTGGCACCCTGGGACCCTGTACCCGCCTCCCAACCCTTGCCTCCATACTCTCCTACATCTCAGTCTTTGCCCTCCCCTCCTTGGCCCCACATAGACTCTTCTGCCGATAGAATGTCTGAGCTGGAAAGGAGCTTACTGATCATTCAGTCCAACTCCAACTTCCTCCCCACCACCGCCACCACCACCCTTTGTAATTGGGGAAATCGAGATCCAGAGAAGAAGACACAAGCCCAAGGTCACATGGCTACTCTAAAGATACTCTAGTCACTAACTCCCAAAATTTCAGAGTTGGAAAGGCCCTTGGTGTCCATTTAATGCAATGCATGCCTGAGCAGCAATCTCCAGCAGGCAGCCAAATGGACTTTTCTTAAGGGGAAGGGGAGCTGATGCTCTCTCAGGGCAGCCCTTTCCTCTTTGGGGTGGCTCTAATTGTTAAGAAGCTCCACCTTATTACATCTTTGTGACTTGCCCCCATCGCTCCTGCTTCTAACCTCTGCGGCCAAGCAGAACGTGGGATCCCACGTGACAACCTTTCAAATACTCCAGTGTAGCCATCGCGTCCTTCCTGCACCTTCTCTTCTCTCGGTTGAACATTCCCAATTTCTCCACCCGATCAGCGTGGGGTACGGCCATTCTGGTCATTGTCCTCTGGACATTCCCCAGCTTATCAATACCCTTCCTGAACCGGGGGGCTTGGAAGCGACACACTTCTCCAGGTACGCCCTGGCCAGACCACGGTAGAGTGGAACCACGTCCTCTGAATTCCTGGATGCCACGCTTGTAGTTATGCAGCCCAAGACTGTGTAGATATTTCGGCCCCTCTTCACACTGCCGACTCGTATTGAGCTTGTAGTCCATTAAACTCCCCAGCTGTTTTTCAGACAACTGGCTATTTAACCATACTTGGGCCTCCTGTACCTGTGAAGTCAATTTTAGGGACTTAAATATAAAACTTTAAATGTATGTCGAAAGTTCAGCTCACTAGACTCAGCCCAGCGTTTCAGCCTGTTGAACTCTTTCTGGATTGTCCAGTGTGTCAGCGGCTAACCTTCCCCGCTTTCTCTCCTCTCTGTGTTGATAAGTTAAAGATGCATCACAGATCTGAGCACCTACATGAGTACACAGCCCTGGGGCATTCCACTGGGGAGACCTCCAAATCAACACCAAACTATTTTTTTTTGTTTTTTTGTTTTTTGCTTTTTTGAGAGGCAATTAGGGTTAAGTGACTTGCCCAGGGTCACACAGCTAGTAAGTGTCAAGTGTCTGAGGCCGAATTTGAACTCAGATCCTCCTGAATCCAAGGCCAGAGCTCTATCTACTGCGCCACCTAGCTGCCCCCTAACACCAAACTATTAAAGACTGTCCTTTAAGTCCTTCCATTCATTCAGTCATTTCTGAATACAACTAATAGCACAACCGTGTAGCTCACATCTCTCCAACTTTTCCACAAGAACAGAATGCAACATTTTGCTATCTACTTAGCTAAATTTTAGATAAACTATATATCTTGCATTTCCGTGGCCTACCCGTTTAGAAACCCTATCAAAAAAGGAAATAAGTTTGGCATTACCAGACTTTGGAAAGCCATGCTGAATCTTGGTGATCCTTGTTTCCTAGTCACTAACTATGTTTTCAATAATTTTTTCTAAAATTTTGATAATAAGGGATGGGAGCCAAGGCATTGGAGAAAGGCAGGGACTTATCTGAGCTCTCCCAAATTCTCCAAACAATTTAAAATTACACCTCAGAATGACTTCTGGAGCAGCAGACCCTGGTCATAGTTCCAGGATGGAAAAGAGTATTTGTGGTTGCTTGCTGTGCAGAGTGCATGCCAGGACAGTAGTAAACACACATCTCCTTAGGTCCTATCACCTTGGAAGAACTGAAAACTTAAAGACATCCCCCCCCCCCCAAAAAAAAAACTATCTCTGAAAACAGCTGCACAAAAAAACTGAAGTTTGCAACAGTGCCTTCTCCACCCCAGGAGCAGACCTCAACTATAACATTAAAGTCAAGAAATATGCTGGAAAATGAATAAAGAACCAAAAAGAACCTGCCAATAGAAAGTTGCTATGGTGATAGGGAAGATCAAAACACAAACTCAGAAGAAGACAACAAAGTGAAAACTGCTATATCCAAAGCCTCAAAGAAAAATGTGAATTGGTCTCAGACCCAAAAAGGATTCCTGGAAGAGCTCAAAAAGGATTTGAAAAATCAAATAAGAGAGGGAGAGGAAAAACTGGGAAAAGAAATGAGTCATGCATGAAAATCATGAAAAAAAGAGTCAACTACTTGGCAAAGGAGGTATTAAAAAAAAAAATACTGAAGGAAATAAACCTTAAAAAAAAATAGGCCAAATGCTAAAAGAGGCACAAAAAAACCACTGAAGAGAAGAACACCTTCAAAAGCAGAACTGGCCAAATGGAAAAAGATATAAAATTTTGCTACTAGTTTGTGGATTCCATTCTCTTCCCTTCTTTGAAAACTAGGATGATATTTTGCCCTTTTCCAAGCCTGGCGTGGTAACAATTACAATAATTACTAGTATTTATACAGCACTTTGAAGTTTGCAAAGTGCTTTACAAATATTATCTTGTTTTGTCCTCACAACCCTGGGAAGTAGGTGCTATTGATGGAATCCTAATAAAGCTGCCCCCAGCCCCAACATTCTAACTTCCTTATGGGCCCCACTGAACAGCAGGCATGCCCTGATCGGACCACACAATCTGGCTTTAACCACACCACGGCCCCCAGACTCAATCACAGGCCTTACTAAACAGCAGGCCTACTGCCCCTAACTAGCCATTGCCCCCCCTGACTCAATATCCTAACTTCCTCATATATGCCTCACTGCCTCACCAGAACAGGTGTGTCTGTGAACTCAAATTTCTCACCGGAACAGCGGATGTGTCCATGTGATGGAATGCTAGCCACTGCCTCTAGCTAGCCACTGTCCCCAGATCCAATTCTCATATTTAAACAGGTGTGTCCATGCACTCAACCACAATCACATCACCCATTTAGCCCAAGACAGGACCACAATACCTATCTGTCTTGGCCAGACTGGACCACAACAGCTAGCCAGTCAGAAAGCAGCACGAGCAGGATGTTTGACCACCAAACCACAGAAGGGGCTTCCCCTAAGATAGTGCCTGGGCAGCAATAGTAAAGAACTGACCTGGAGTAAACTTATGACATAGAGAGGCTTATTATATGATTTTCATACATGAATACCCCCTCCCTGTTTGGGTTTTTCTGTATGCATTGTGGGTAACTGCATACACAGTTCCACTGAGTCTGGGACCCCTCCCCCATTACCTAATCCCTTAACAAATCCCTCCCCATTACCTAATCCCTGACAAACCCCTCCTGCCTTTTTAATATCCATAATTTCTGTTGTGTAATCAGCATCATTACGCTATAAAATTGCCTGTCTTGATTTACTAAGTTTCTGGTTCCTCTTGGAACCTAGCCCACTGGAGAACGTCACCCTCAATAAATGCTTTCGCTTGGATTTGAGGTAGTCAAGTCTGAATTCTTTGAGATGACCCCCACAACACACCATGAAACCACAACACTATGATTGTCCTCATTTTTACAGATGAGACAGAGAGAGGTTGAGCGACTTGCCCAGAACCACACAGCAGTACTGAGGTTGGATTTGAGCTTAGGTCTTCCTGATTCCACATCTAGTGCTCTATTCACTTGACCCATGTGGCTTGTACCTCTTCCATTCTCCATCATCTTTCAGCTCTCAGTTGCAGTGAGTTGGCAATCACATGGGATCACAGATTTAGATCTGGATGTGACTTTAGTGGCCATTCTAGTCCAATTATTTTACAAATAAGGAAAAAAACTGAATTATTCCAAGTCACACAGCTGGTAACTGACAGAGCTGGGATCTGAGCCCAGGAATTCCAGTCCTCCAGTCATCTGGATCAGGTGCCTTGAATTCATCAAGAGCAGATAGGTGCCCTCTCTTTATCTCCTTCCTTATCCTGGTATCAACTCTATTAGCCATTGCTGTTCTGTCCATTCCAGGCCAAAGACTCCTGTTTTTAGCAGAGAAAACACGCAAAAAAGTATCAGCCTTCTCTCTGCCATCAGTTATCATCTTCCCATCTTCCTCAAGCAGCAATTCTATCCCTCCTTTGATATTCCCCGGTTCCCCAGTAGAGTTTTTCACCTCTTCAGCAACCTCTTTTGGTTGTCCTCAGCTTCTCTTGCCAGCCTCCACTCAACCTGAGCTTTAGCATCGCTGACGTGATTCTTACTGGACTTTGCCACCTTTTCTTTGGTGTTGCTCTTCTTTCTTCTATACACACAAACTCATAAATTTAAAATCCAAGTGGGCTAGGACTAGCATCTATATTAGTCTTCAGAAAATGGCTTTTATTCATCTTCACGACTGTTTCTCTCTATCTTCATAATTTCATTTTTGAGTTTCCCATCCCACCTGGGCTGACTTCCCCAATGGAATTTTAAGGTACCAGATCCAATCTCTTTCTCCTTTGAACCCTTTAAATCTAATCTCTACAGGTCTTGGGAGTGTGTTTCATGGTATGCCCCACCTTCAAGAAGAGTCTGAAATTTATTCTTCAGCTTAGACGGCAGCTCATCGTCACCCCCATTCCTTCTGTGGCATTCTCCATCGTCCAACTTTCTGACATAGCTGTTTCCCCTCGGTCTCTTCAGATTCGTCTTTGCCCTGTTCTCCACTCTTACTGGTAGTGAGATTCCTACTCCTTGTCTCCCAAACCACTCGCTTCTGGGAGAGACAACATCTGTGATACAACGCGTTTTACTCAGTTGCACATCCGAATTTGAATCCTGGCTCTGCCAGCTTACTGTGTGTGTGACCTTGGGCCAGTCACTTCCCCTCTTTGTGCCTCGGTGGTAGAACTTGAGGGCTTCTGAGGCCCCTTCCAACTCGGGAGCTAAGATCCTCTTTAATATCTCAACGCCTTAAGCAGTAAG